TAAATAGTTGTTTAATAATAACAATAGTAATTTTCATAATATTAATAATAATTCTTTAAAATATTATTTAAAATTCACATTCTAACTAATAAATATATGAATTAAATATAATATTATATTAGATACTGTTAATATAATAAGATTAAATTTTAATACAAGTCACTCTCATTATAGTGAACTCTTAATATAGTGAAGACTAATTAAAATCTCAATATAGTGAATTTATTAATAAAGCTCTCGATATAGTAAATTTTTAAAAATTTTTATTAATAGAATGAATCATTTCACTATAACGAAAGTGACTTGTATAAGAGTAACTTATATATAATAATTATTAAAAATTTTAATAGAATACACGAGTATATACTTTAAATTTGCCAAGACAAATATAAATTCTTATTTTAATTATTCAGTATTAATTAATTGCTTAACTTCAGATTATATAATATATGAATAGTAGTATTATAATTAACTACTTAATATTGTGCAATCTACTAAAAGTTTTTTTTATTAGATATGTTATATTATTATTCTATCTTATTTTAATCATAACATTAATATAAATATATCAATTTATATTTTTTTCTTACCATATTTTAGTAATACTTAAAGATGTTCTATAGCCTTTGTATGTAAGACTGTAAAATTGATGAAACCAAACCCAGATGAATATGTAATATTATGTATATCAGATTTTACTTTCTTTTTCCACCCAATAATAATTTGAATAGGTTTGGTTTGTAGATTTTTTTTTTTCAAATACTTTAGATTTTTTAATTTGATTAAGTTTTTGAAGAGAATCTGATTCTTGAAGAGGATTTAGTTCTTGAAGAGAATCTGGTTCTTGAAGAAGATCTGGTTCTTGAAGAGGATCTGGTTTTTGAAGAGGATCTGGTTCTTGAAGAAGATCTGGTTCTTGAAGAAGATCTGGTTCTTAAAGAAGATCTGATTCTTGAAGAAGATCTGGTTCTTGAAAAGGATCTGGTTTTTGAGAATCAAATTCTTGATGTACATATAATTTCTGAAAAGAATCAGAATTGTTTGGATTTGATAGTAGTTGGTATGATAAAATGAATGTTTTTTAATATTGTAAAAAATATTTGACACCCCAATTATCATCTTTAAATATATATGATAAAGTAGAATACGAATTAGCTCCTTTAAATATACACTTAAAATTTCCTGTTTTTGGATAATAATTATGAATATATCTTTTAAAAACACTAAAAAATTTACTCTCTGTGCAATTAACAATGATATGAGCATTTTCAGCATGTTTTGAATGTTGTTTTAATCTTTCTTTAATATAATAGACTAAAGTTTTTTGTGTCACTTCAATTGTTCTTTCAGGCAACTCATAAATTGTTGGCCTTATAGTATTAGCATCTTGAATTAGTTTTTTATGCTTAGCTAAACCTAAATGTTATTTATAAATTTTTCCACATAGTCCACACTCAAGCTCACTACAAGGTGTATTATCTCGAATTGACATAGTTGTTATAATTACTGTTAAAAATAGTCAATACAGTTTATGATAAAAAAAAATAATATTTTTAGGCATAACAGTATCATATTTTTTAAACTTAGTTACTTAGCTCTAAAATATACTGACAGGTTCCTTATACAGCTAATAGGTTACTTATACAACTGATGGGTTACTTAGTTTCACTGTATTAAAGATCTTCAGACTTTAAATAATTTGAGTGATCAATATTAACTTTGCTAAGGCATTAAGTTCTATAATTTATATTACACATAACAGAATATAGTGAATATAGTGACATTAAATTAGGCCCAATTTTCTGAATCCGCCAATATGTCTATTGTAAATATGTTAATAAGCAATCAATGTCTTTTTTAGATATTGTTTTTGAAACAAATTTGGGTTGTAATAATGAAAAAGCTAATAACAAATATGAAAAACTAGAAATTAAAAATATTAAGATACTAAATAAGTTTCATAAGTCTGGATTAAAAATTATGCAAAAATGTGCAAGTATTCTTTAGATATTTGAAAATATAAAGTTACAATACAAGATACTTTAATATTACTAAAAATTACTAACATAACCTCAATAATCTTACTAAATATCCTTCTAAATTTCACATTCAATATACCAAATTCCCAATTCAAATATATTTTATATATCATTACTGGAACTTTCACTTTTACCATTTATGAAAATATCAAAACACTTACTAACAAACAAACTGATGCCCTCCTACTTCAGCTTTCAAATAATCTATTTAACTGGTTCTATCAAGATCTCTGGTTTACTCGCAATATATATTAACACCAATGGGAAATATCTTGTAATATTACACCCAAATCCAAATGCACTAAAATTTACTTACCAACATTACCAAATTCTTCAAACAATTCAACAATCTTTTCTTAAAATATAAATATTAACCCTTTTATCATCAAATGGCTCACACAAGGCTATTTACTAACCACTTGTATTTAATAATGTTCAGACAATCACTTGAAGGTCTCTTCCAACCTATCCTAGCTAAAACCTAATTTGAAA